GGGCACCCAAAGAACTTCATCCATGCGTTATCACCACTTTTCGCCATTCGCACCACCGCAAATGCCCCACATCTGCACTTCACTCGTGAAGAAATCAACCCACCACCCCTTGAAGAAGAAGATCCAGTTGACATTGCGCATAAATGGTGAAAATCGTGAATGTTTACAGAGAAAAGGGGAAAAGAATGGAGAATGGGGTCTTTCTTTAGAAGAGAAAAGAGACAGGGGTCTTTGTTTAAGAGAGAGGAGGGAAAAGTCAACCCTTGTAACATGAAATCAAAAATAAGAACCGTTAGAGATGCCAAGTCAGCAATTTACAGGCTACAGCAGGTTGCTTAACTTGTAGGGTGCAACGAAAATTAATCACCCCCAAAGTTGGGAGTGATAGATAATAAACGGAAGTTGGGATTAATTTCGGCGGATGAGGCAAAGTTCAGATTAATTGGATCAATTTTTCCTAAACTTTATTAGGTTAACAATTAACAATCTTAGGAAGCATTATGGTTCGCATATTTTAATGAATTTCCCATATTTTTTTTTTCTTTTCACATTGGTTCTACATCCCACTAAACTTAAAATTGACTACTGTAAAAAAAACTCATTGAGGTCTAGGAATATGTTGTATAGGTATAAATCATTAAAAAAAATATTTAAATACATTTTTTTGAAGACTTACAAAGAAAATATAATTCAAATTAATCATGATTATAATTTTAGTTTTGTAAATCATTATTTAAGTGTATATATATGTTTTTTTAATGTTGATATGATTAATATGGTAACTCTAATATATTTATATAATACATATATTGAATTTAAACTTGTGTAATCAATAAATACTATTGTTGAAATTAAATTAATTAATTAAAATAAATAATATTAAACTTATTTATACATTAACAAATTACTTGAAATTAATTATATATTAACCAATTATGTGTAGCTACGTAAATATTATATTGCACATATTTATTTCATATAATCACGTGTATTAATACATTATTTAAAATTTTCATACTATTATTCTTATATTAAATAATTCAACGCTTGATAAATAATTATTTCTTTATTTTATAAATAATTTTTAGAGAAATTATTTCTAGTAACCACAAAAATTTACTTGTTCTCAATGTAAAAGTCTGAAATTTTTTATTACGGCTATTTCACCAAATGCCACTGAGTACTTACAAAATTCATCAAATGTCATCAAAGTTTTCAAAATTCACCAAATGCCACTGACAAACAACACAATGACACATCGTGCCACTAATAGCATATGGACGTTAGTTTTCCGTTAATGTAATTCTTTTTTCATTAAATGTCATTACTTTGGAAAATTATTTCATCAAATGTCATTACTTTTTAAAATTAATACATAATAATTATTTATTTTAATGAATAAAAAATTTACTTTTTTTTCGATTTTCGTGACGAAAATTATTCGGGTAAGGTTTTGGGTGTTATTTTGACCCTTTATGGGTACAAATTAAACTCCAAATTGGCAAAAAAAAAAAAACGTAAATACCCCATTTTGCATTTTTTCTGAAAATAAAATTACGATATCGACATACCAAACGGGGCTTATATGTTATTTTTTAGTCAATTCTGAGTTTAATTTTTTTTCATAACGGATCGAAATGACCCCCAAAACCTTACCCGATCAATTTTGATGGTTAAAAAATAACGACACGCTAATCGAAATATTTTTCAACACACAAAACGGATCATTTACGTTATTTTTTGTCAATTATGAGCTTAATTTGTACCCATTAAGGATCAAAATGACCCCCAAAACCTTACCCGATCAATTTTGATCGTTAAAAAATAATGACACACTAATCAAAATATTTTTCAACACACAAAACGGAGCATTTACGTTATTTTTTTGTCAATTTCGAGTTTAATTTGTATCCATAAAGAGTCAAAATGACCCTTAAAACTATACCTGAACAATTTTTGTCACGAAAATGAAGAAAAAAATATTAGTTTTATTAATTAAACTAAATAATTAAAATGAACCAATCATATAATGACACGTGTCAAGATTTAATCTTAATGACTAACGGCCGTGTTAATTATTAATGGTATTTGGTGGATTTTTTAAAAGTTCGATGACATTTGGTGAATTTTGAAAACCTCGATGACATTTGATGAATTTTTTAAGTAATCAGTGGCATTTGGTGAATTAGCCGTTTTTATTATCAATGGTAATCATGAATTAATATTACGAACTATATGGTAAATTAAGTTAAACAATTTGTTATTTCATTAACTATGGTTAAATTAGATTGCAAAAAGACACAAGTACCCCTAACCAATTCTTTCATCTTCCTTTCTCTTTCCTCTTCCCCGCTGCAACTCTTTTTCCAGCCACCCTCTCCCTCATCAACATCCAGCCTCCCCATTTCTGGATGTTGACACCTAGCAAAACCGATCCCGACCAACCCAGAAAATCTACTGCTACCTTACTTTCATTCATTCCGCAAAACACAAAAATTCAATAGCAAACCCTCGAAAAATTCAACCCAAAATCAACATTTGACCAACGACCCCCAAATTCAACCCCATAATCAATAAGTTTGACCACTAATTTGGCAAGTTAAACTCAATATCAACAAATTCGAACCCCAAATCAACAAATTCGACCCCAAATCAACAAATTCAATCACTAATTCGACATATTCTACTACTAATTAGACAAATTCGACCCAAAAAATTAACAAACTTGACCCCTAAATAACACATTTGACAAATTCAACCCCAAAAAATCAACAAAAAAAAAAAAAACCAAGAATTTTCAACCAAATTGGGGAAGGAAATTAGAGGGGATCAGGGAAGGGAGCTGAGAGGGGTGGCTGATTCCGGTAAGGGAGGGTGGCTGATTCTGGCGTCCCCGATAGAGGCTATTGTGGGACCTTGCTGTTCTTCATCATCAAAACACATCATCACAAACTGAGTTTTTGGTGGCAAAGGAGGGAGAAGAAGAATAGATCAGAGAGGGAGGAGGGATTTGGGGTTTATGGTCATCGATGTGTGTAGGGGAGGCTAGGCACCGCCGTTCGGGAGTGGGGGAGGCAGACTGAATGCTGGCAGGGAAGGGGTTGGCCTGGTGGCTGGTTGGGTGGGGATGGGTTTTGGGTGTTTATTTTTTTAATTTTTATATTAAAGATACTAATGTAAATTTATTGTTATTATAATCCTGGTTAATTGTCTAATGGTGTTTTATTTTCATTAATGTTACCATTTGCTTAATAATATAAATTTACCATTGATAATGAAAAAATTCAGACTTTACTGAGAAAAAAAAAATAAAAAATGTTTGTGGTTATCGAAGAGAATTTCCCTATTTTTTTAAAATAATTTTTAATTAAAACAAGTGGGGTCAAGTGATGATCTAACTTAGTTTTTTCCATGCTGCCACTGTAGGATAGTTTTTCTATAATTTTTGTTTTATCTTGTACCACAACATGCCACTTGTGAAATCTTATTGCTTTGCTGCTGATGGTGAAAACATGGTTGCTTCTTATTTATTTCATTTTTTTTTCCAGCATAATGATTATATATGGCATGTCTTTATGAGGTATAGGAAGATTGTTATGTATAGTTATACTCATGACCTTTTCTTATATGTGATTTCAAACTTTTTAAATTGTGTGGATGGATGTAAACAATCCAATTCTCACTGCCTTAGCTTCATTTTATTTGTGCATGGTATATACGTGCTTGAACACCATTACTTCAATTCTATGCATGACTTTTAACAATAACAATTTGAATACTATAATTTTGAGATAGAAAGCAGCTTAAAGTGGATTCACCATGCCTTTTGAAAGCACCAGCAAATAAACCATCGGTGTATGCACTCCTAAAATATCAATATGCTTGACCATGCTGCTTAATCTCTTGTTTGCAACCACAAATATCTAATTGACCTTTGATGATCAACCACAGACAACATGCTAAACCTTAATGTAAGATGCTTCATAAATCTAATGTAGATGATTAATTTACTAGGCAGACATAAATTTAATCTATGGTATATAGGATTCATTGAGTGCTTTTGTCCCTAGGGCATTTTAATATGATTTCTTGTTAATTAATGAAATAAATTATACATTGGAAACAAAGTTGAGATTAACAATCATTAATTAACAAAGTTGAGATTAACAATAATTAACAACTTTGTTAATTAATCACAAATTCTTTAATTAATCGACTTATTGTTAATCTCAACTTTGTTAATTAATGATTTTTATAGGGCTGTCAGTTGCAAAATATGGGACTTGAGTCCCACATCGGTCATATAGGGGGTTAATGTGGGATTTATATAGGAAAATGTGCTCTCCTCCCCTTGAGCTAGCTTGTGGGGTTGACTCTCCTATTATTATATATTACATGGCACTAGATTTTGAGCCTTATATCCAACTTTGCTTGGTTGGATTGTAATGACTACAATTAAATAGTCTCATTTGGGGGTTGTATGCTTGTATTTGAAATAGCTATATATTGGTTTAGCCTTTAGTGAATAGTCTTGCAAGCTTTTAACCTAGATTAACTTGGTATGTATATCATATCAATTGGAGCACTAATATTTAAGAGGGAGTCCCACTTAAACAAGTTTCATTTATCAAGTGATAAAATCGTAAATAGTCATCATGACATTTTAGTAATTATTATCAATAATTGTAGCTCTATTTATTTATTTATTTATTTATTTACTGTTTTGCCTCTTTACATTTGTTGATTTATTTACAGTTTTGCCTCCTTAATATGATAAACTTAAATTTTCTCGCCTTTTAGGCTAAATATTTGGGTTATTTTATTTTTTTGAAAGAAAATATGTGATGTTATCTCATTTTATACTTTATCGCTTTATGCCGTAATGAAAAAAACAACTTACAATACTATATACAAAACATATTGATTTAGTCAAAATAGATCATAAATTCAAATCAAATAACATAAAATAAGTTCAGATTAGTTTATACTCGGGTGAGCCGTATCAAACAAAATTACGGCGGGCCCTTAAAAGTTAAAACCAAATCGATGAGTCTGGAGCAGCAATCGACTGTAATCTTAGGAGGCGTCTGTGTGTAGACAGTTAGGGTGGTGGTCGGAAAGTTGAACCGGGCGTTTCTGTAATCTTTACACTCAGTCAACTGCATTCAAATCCAGGTAATTCACCCTTAAACTTTATCATACAAATTTCACCTATAACTTTCATCAACGAATTTCCCATCAATTTTGGTATCATCCCACAAAAATTTCCAATCAACAAGCATATATCAGAGTACCTCTTGATTTCTCCAAAAAAGAAGCCTTTCTATTACAATTCTTCTCTACAAAGTCCCAATTCTGTAAAATATTTTTACAATCGAGAAGGATTTGCTGTTCTGGTAAATCTCGATTTTCATTTCATGGGTTTCAATTGAAGGGTTTCTATTAATTTTAATTTCTGATTATTCAAGTTTAGGAATTCATTGTGAATTTTTTCAATGATAATTAGTGGGTTCTATTTTCATTTTTGATTTTTTGCTTTATTAATCCTCACAGATTGAGGAGGAAGCAAATGGGTAATGCTCCATCAACGCTTACCCAATATGATATTGAAGAAGTTCAAGAACATTGCAATAAATTATGTACGGGTTTTATTTTGATTGTATTTTGTGGATTGCTAAATGTTGCTATGATTCAATGAAATATGATATATGCTATTGTTTTTATGTAGTCAATCAGCAAGAGATAGTTTCTTTGTATCAAAGATTTTGTCAACTTGATCGGACTGCAAAGGGTTTTATTTCATCTGATGAGTTTATGTCTGTGCCGGAGTTCGCGATGAACCCTTTAGCTCAGGTATTGAGTGTGTAGATTTTGAGATCATACTTGGTTTGCTTGTTATGAATTAACTGTTGATTAGGAATTTTCGACAAATTGAATATATGAATTTGTGGTGTATATGCAGAGGTTGCTGAAGATGGTTGATGGTTTAAATTTTAAGGATTTTGTTGCATTCTTATCTGCATTTAGTGCCAAAGCAAGCATTGAGCAGAAAGCTGCCCGTAAGTATTCGGTTTTCATCTGATAAATTTATGTCTGTCAAGGGTTGCTAATGGTTATTTCGATTAGTTGCTATCTTCATCTTGTAGGCAAGAGTGCTACCTTATAATTTTGATTGTTCTGCTGCTTAATTAATATCTCTGTCTGTGTAAATGGAATAAAGTCTGGTCAATACGATTGCTAGCAGAACAGCCTATCATGTTTTATTCAGATAATTTTAAACACCTAATGGCTGTATGGCTGTATCCTTCATGTTTTTGTTTACTTTCGGATCGCATATGGATTCAAATATTGTTTTCTGAGAAGAAGGATTTTTTTTTTGGGCCAACATATCTTAGGGGTTTTCAAAGTTGACTAGTGATTTTCATCATCAAGATATTATACATAATTAGAATGACACCAAGGGAATACCACGGCTTTCACCCATATACCAAAGGATGGCTAAGGTGAACAGTCTCGTGCCCTTTACATAGATTTTTACTTTTTTAGGCATTAAGTCTCTAAGAGCTAAGAGCCTAAGACTCAATTAACATTATTGCTTCCTGGAACCAGCTTCTGTTTACTTTGCCTCTGCGAGGCCAAGAATTTGTGACATGTTAGTAGACCTCAAAGTTTGTAATAAGTTGTTGTAGACCCCAAATGATGCAATAATGTGTACTGAGGAAGTAAAAGAAAAGTAGTAAAATGAAAGATAAATCCTTTTTATTTTTAGATGTGTAGTTAAGTATTTGAGAATCTGGTTAGATTTATTGTCAGCTTTATAGTATTTGAAGTCATTAGTCATTGAGTAAACCAGTGACTATCACCATATCTTGATGTGTGTTTATATTGTAGATTCTCTCTCCCTCTTCTCCTTCAAAGGAATGGTTGTTAACTCTTCTCTGGTACTTATATAATGCCCCTTTCAACATAGCAATTTGTTAAATGACACCTGTGTAAGCTCCAAGTTTCAGTGAGTAGCTATAGTAAACAAGTTCTCTTGTCTCTTTTGCAGTTATTTTCAGGGTTTATGACTCGGATGGCAATGGGAAGGTGACTTTCAATGACATCATAGAAGTGCTCAGTGATATGACTGGTTCATTCATGACTGCTGAGCAAAGAGAGGTATGGACAGTTTTACAACTACATTCATTCTTTGCTTTGTATCGAGAGCTCATGTGGCATGGGTACAGATGTCATGACCTGTATAAAATTTCCAATGGTAAAAATCACTAAAGATAGTTGGGTTAAGCAACGACATATTATTTAACAGAACTTTTTTCCTTATTGAACCAGTTATTTTTCCATTGCACGATGACCATTCTAGTTTAAACAGAAATATTTAAAAAGTCTCTGATGAATGACATTAGTTGAGCAGGGTAACAAATCTCCCCCCCCTCTCTCTCTCTCTCTCTCTCTCTCTCTCTCAAGTCTCAACATAGTGATAAGATGTCAAGCAAGCACTAAGTACACCATATAGGAATAATATTATCTTGTAAATAAAGAATTCAGCATTAAATTTTGCTCTTTCTCTGCACCTGAAGTTTTCCCTTCAACTCTCAAATTTCAAGGTGCCGAAAACCATTTATAGCTCTGTTTCATGATCCATCACAACACTGAAATTAGGAAAGAGGCAATTGGGTGGGTTCTTTAATTTTAGCATGGGCGTTAACCTCATCTCTTGCCTAAAATGTGTATAAGAAAAATAAGAGCAGTTTCTGCTTCATTTAATTGATATGGGCATTACTTCTGCCTAATATGTGCCTGTTATTAGCCTCATTTTTTACTTAGGCATTACTTGGTGCCTTCTTTGACATTGTCAATGTTAAATGAGCTGTGGGTGTATGGCCTTTTGTGCCAGAATAGATGTCTATCTGATGCATTCAGACTATACGGTCAAACTTCCATAGATGTAAATATTTATTAAACCAGAATATGCTATTGTTACATATTGCAGTTTTCACCCTTTCGTAAAGTATTGAATATACATTTTTTTTGTTTTTTGTAACTAGACTCAAACATAAAAAGTGTGTAATTCTTGTTTCACCAAGTGTGTAATTCTTGTTTCACCAGTTGTGTTCATATTTTGGGATGAAAAAAAAAAAACTATTTGCTGCATCATGAATGGTCACTCTTATAATGTAAAGTTTTCTTATATAGCATATGGCTGATAATCTCTTGTACTCTTCGTCAAAAAGATTATCTCTTGGACTTTATTTTATGATTTTATCCCTTTGTATAAGCTTCGTGTATGTGGGCTATGCTGTGCTAGTGTAAGTGGAATATATGAAGTGCGGCATCATTCAGTCTCTAATTGTTTGTGTTCTGTGCCATAGGCGGTGTTGACGCAATTATTGCAGGAAGCTGGCTACACAAGGGACTCTTATTTGATGCTAGATGATTTTGTGAAGGTATCATTCAAACATATAAATCTGAGATTTGTTAGTTCAGCAGTTCAGCTTCATTGCTGTTTCTCATCTCTAAGTTGCCTCTATATTATAATTCATGTATCCCCAATTCCACATCATATCATAATAACTCGTGAATTGATATGTCATCTCCAGTGTGCTTCAAGGTGATAAGAAATTTTATGAGTTGCTGATCAGATAATCATTTTTTTAATTGGTATATGGCAACATCTAGAGTTATTCATGACAGCCTCCATGAGTCCATGATCTTCTGTTTTTTAATGTCAAAAATAGATTGCCAAAAAAAAAAGAGAGAGAGAGAGAGAGAGAAACCATGCAAAACTGTTTGATGGCTTGCTATTTACAGAGTTTTGTGCTGATTAAACTGTAAAAATTAGTCTTCTCATAATTTATAGGCCTACCTTTGTTACGTTCTTTGCTATGATTTAGCTGGTTTGCCCCATGCTGTTTTCAGTTTGAGCTATGTTGCCTCTCTATCATCCTTGACATTGTAGGCATCAATTCTTTTAGGGAAGCTTTAACCTCTAGAAGTAAGAAGCTTCATTTCACAGATATTTTGTATTGGATAATCCTTCAAGAGCTCACAAAAGAAGTTTTTTTCCAAGTAATTATGTTTGATCCTTTTCTGTCCAATATAAGTTCTACTGATTACTGCTGAATATGAAGACAAAAAAACATTCTAGATATGCATCCTCTGTTTTCTTGAGTCCGGAAGTTCAACTTCCTCTCCGACGCCTAGTGTTTGTCTTGAATAGTGCTGAACATTCCAAACACTGAGCAATACAAAGTTGATGTATTTCCCCTGTAGTGGTATCTCCCCGTGTTTGCTCATGTAAAAATGTAAAATGCAAACAGGTCGGAGCAAAATGATTGCTGGGAAGGAAATATAGTATAGTTGGAAATTTGGAATTTAAGTGTTACTGTTAATATTATTAAATGTTTGTGCTGATGACATGAAAGTTTTTGTATTTGTTGTCACTTTAATATTTGTTGTCACTGTCACTTGAATATGATGACATGGAAATTTAGAATATTTTTTTTTAGTTACTCCATGCTGATTTTGGTGAGTTTATATGTAAAAACACTTGTATAGATTTTAGGAGTTCGTGTATCTTTGCATCCTGGGACTGTCTTCAGTGATTTCACGAGCACCTATTTGCTACTGAATTCTGTGTGATTGTGCCTCTTAAACCTCCTTGCTCAGTTCTTTATCCAAACCTGACTGAATTTTCTGGTCATATTCAGATTTTTGCAAATTCAGACATGAAGATGGATGTAGAGATTCCTGTCGATTAAGCATGCACTTGAAAGGAAGCACTTGTTAATAATCAGAAACAGATGTTGCTGGAATGTGTTGTGGAGCAACCGTGAACTGTATATTGATATGGACACACTTTATCATGCAAACAGCAAACGGATAAGCAGCCAATCTGTGTTTCTGATTAGTTGCTATGTTGATTCGGGTTTTAGATTTTATTTTCTTTTATTTTAAAAAAAAAATTATTGTGTAGCTGTCAATTTCTTTTTTCTAGTGTGAAAGGCGTCATAACGTCATTAGTTATTTGCTAACAGCCTTCAGGGCAATATCTTCATAGCATACACTGGGGTACATGCACATTCAACTATTTCCGTCTTTAGATTATCGATTATACATAGACAGATCTATTTATTCCAAGGGTTGCAATATTACCTTTTCTTTGCCTTCAAAGAAGTTTTACTTCATATGGCTGCATTATGGGTTCAAGTACATGTTCTTGGCCAATTTAGCCAATCTTCCCATTGATCAGATATCTGATGTAGGTTATTTAGTTTGTATACTTGTATATATTTTCATACTTATCTTGACGATTACATTTTCAATTATTAAGGAAAAATTTGGTGAAGTACTGGTTAGAACTTTGTAAGGGTAAAATTTCAAAGCTGCTGTTATTTCACATATCAAATACAGCCAAAACTTCTGCTGAAATACAGCCAAATTTTGCACCTTCTCAAGTAGGTGAAGGTGCCAGTCAGCAAACAGAGCCGCAAACTTGCAGCTTTCAAAGTAGCATATAGACAATGTTCTTCTGATCATATGCAGTGCAGTTCTTGTAACATCTACCTTAGACCACTGCTATCATGCTTTCTCGGACTCTCGGTTGTTTCTCCTAAACAAGAGTTAAGAAAAGGCGATAACATGAATCAACAACAGCGTCCTCAATAATGGATGAAAAGTCTACCTCGAATTTTCCTATGAGTACTGAAGGTTGTAGTAGCAGTGGCAGCAGTGACAGCAGTAGAAATATCGTAGCACCTGTGGAAATCCTGAATAACAGACTGGACGTACTTGAACAAGAAGCCGAAAACATGAAGAAGATATTGCTTGTTAGCATGGATGAGAGGAGAAAGGCTATCAGTGAGATTCTGCAGCTGTTCCAGACTCTATGCACACATTTATATGGTTCAGAAGCCAAGCATCCCCTCAGTTTTCACAAGGTAAGTTACCTTAGGATTCAAGTGTTCAATATGATAGGGTATAAAAATCTGTGGAAAGTTTCATACAAATTTTCGTAATAAAGTACTTTTCTACGCGAATATATATTGGCAATTAGCATTACCAATATTAATGAAAATTTATGAAGGAAAGGGTAGACAAACATCATGGATTATATCCTACAATATTATACTTCTTATATAAACCCTACTTTATAAACTTGTGATTATTATAGACATTATTACTGCCTATAAAATGACCGAACAAGTCATGAGTTTATATAGAGGATAATAGTACACGAACATGACATTACGCTTCAATGCTTCATACTCTTCATACCCCTATGTGCACAATACTAACATACGACACTGGAGTTGTATACATATGTCCAGTGTCCTACATGTTGAAGATGAATGCACTAACTAATGATCATTGTGTTATCCGGTTATTATCGCAGCAGGAGAAAAGGCACCAGAATATTGGTCTATTACAAGCTTTGTGTGAAGATTCCAATCCATTCCTGGTCTTGCGGAATTCTACCAAGACAAATAGCCTTTCCTAGTTTATAACTCTAGCACAAATGGTAGCACATACTAATGTCCCACAGCAAAAATAAGCTGTACAATTTGTGGAAAAATTTACAAGTTATGGGCAATGTAAAATTAGTAAACTAATAAGGTCCCCCCCCTCTCTCTCTCTCTCTCTCTCTCTCTCTCTCTCTCTCTCTCTCTCTTCTTTTAAGTCAGCAAGACATTGTCGGAAGAAAAAAAAATAGCGACTAAGAAGCTGCACTAACTGCCTCAGGAAGAAGATCATCTGCTTCATCAACACCCATTTCAGTTCTGAAGAGAAGTCTGAGGTGAGGAAGAATCCTTGGAAGAACAGGCAAGTCAGCCATGTTGATGCTCATCATGTCAAAGCCTATACACGTATTATGCATGTGGGCATCTTCAAACACAGGAATCTTTGGGTACCGTTGGCTGAAGTGTGTAAGAATTATGCGATATACGCCAGCTGCTTCACCCACTTCAATGGCTTCTTTTGTAGTGCTATGGTTTCTAGCCACAGCCTCATCCATCAAGGCGTCCTCAAAGGTTGCCTGCATAAATCACACTTTGTCAGTTTGTCAATTTCTTAAATCTCTGTACTCCTATCAGAATGAAAAATGATCATTCGTTTTTCCTAGGGGTAAAAAATCCTTAAATAATCAGAAAATGAGTGGGGATGAAAAGTAGCCTCTACTAACTTTAAGTTTTAATAAGCTGAAATGTGTTAATCCAACTTTACTGAAATCCAAATCTGGCTACAATGTCCGACAAAATCAAATAACTTTTCATCTGAGCTAGAAGCTTTTCAATTTAGCAAACAGCTTCAAAATGAAGCTCAGAATATCAAACTGGTTAACACCAAGCACATTAAGATCTGTCCTTTCCAATGGGGCTATACTATTCATGATGTTAGGCTTTAGACTATACTGGACTAAATCCCAACTGATTAAATAAGCAAACACATTCCAAGTAAAATGACAGAATGAACTGCAATTTTGTTATAGATCTACCTCATGTATTAGGACAGTAGCACCATGAGATGCTTCTATCAGCTCCTGACAAGGCCTTGTGTCCCCAGAGTACACCACTTTCCATCCTGGTATCACTTCACCAACATTGTTGATTCTGTCACCTGCCTTCAGGACAGTGCCAAAAGCTTGTGGGCAGTGCACCACAGGGAAACTTATCAAAGTCTCTAGCCCTGCATCTTGCAGCACTTTCCTCAAGTGCGAAAGTCTTTCCATGGAATCAGCATTTCCAACTGGGCTACTAGGTCTCTTCCAATAGCTCTGCATTGGGCTTCCTTTTATAAAGAGTGTAGAATCAACATTACTTCCAGAATTAGTAGGAGATGATGATCCTAGATCTGAGTTGAGAGAACTGGCAAAAGCATCCCAAGAGGCTTGAGTTGTATGCCTGCAATCAAGAAATTGCATATCTAACTCTTCAAGTTTTTGATATGCATTTAGAAATCTCATCAGCTGTCCTGGGCCCACAACTAACAAAGGTTCATGAGGAACTCCTTTCAATAAATCACGACGTAGAGCAAGAATTCTTGCTAGTCCTGTATGATGGTCAGCATGAATATGAGAAATCCATATGCACCTCAAATTTCTCACAGCATTATCTGCACCTTCTATACCAAATCTGCTCAAGAGGGAGCGAAAGAATGTCAGACAAGTAAAGTTATGTTAGATTAAAATAAAAAAGTATTTTCTAAATGCCAGGGAAAAAGAAGACAAGTAATCACACCTTCTCTTCAACTGACCCAATGTGCCTTCACCACAATCAAAAAGCAAACTCCCTTTTGAGAAAAGATTGATGAAGATAGAGCTCACGTTACGGTACTTGGAAGGCTGGGATGATCCAGTTCCCAGAAGGACAATCTCCATATCCTCTCGGGTTATATCTTGCAAACAACTGGGCAGACCAAGCTCATCAAACCATGGCTCTTCCACAACAGAATTGTTATTTTCTAATGAAATTTCTCCGTTAACTTCCACAGGACTATCCCACAATTGCCTAACTTGCTGCACTGTATTGTCAATCTCAGGAATTTCGGCGCGTAAGTCATCTAAAACTTGAGCGGGTCCAGTATAAGTAGGGACTGATGATCTGTCCAAACCGAGGTTTGCATATGGACGCAAAGTGAACTGTATCACAAATTAACAATAAAACTCATTATAATTACAGAATTATATAATAAGGGCAGCATTACGCATATAATAGTGTCGCTAATAATCCCACATTTCAGTGATTTCATATTGGTCTGAACTTATATATTGGTCCGAACTTATAAGAGCAACTCCAACAGTGTAAAATTAGGACTAGCTTGCAATTTATGAAACTAATAAATAATTAGCTTAACCATTGGAATTGCATTACCAAATTAGCTGGGCAAAGCTATTCGCTTAGCTAAGCTAATTAACTTAGCAAATTGTGAGAAATAAAAAAAATTAAATAAATAAAAAAAATTATTGAAAATTAGCTTATCCATTGTGGGATTAATTAGCTACAAGGTAGATTAGCTTTGCAATCCTAGGTGGCATGGCAAGCTAATTTCACAATTAGCTTACCATTGGAGTTGCTCTAATTAACTCAATACAGTCCCACCTTTTGTATACATATACTTAATATGGACCCTTATGAAAAATGACCGAATACAGCAAGTTATAATTCTATGTAGCCAGTTGACAAACCAAGAAAATCCAACGTGACCTATGTGGAACTCCAACCCCTTCTCTCTCATTGGTAAAAGAAAAACACATAACCCTTCGATTTCTCTCTTCTGTAATAAAACCTTTATACGTCTATCCAATCCCCACATTTTATTTCCACTATGGTGGTTCAAAGTCATCGGCCAGGGTGTGGCTTCTGTTAGCAGGTTTTTTTTCTTTTTTTTTTTTTTTTTTTTTTTTTGGGGGGGGGGGGGATGTGAGAGAGAGGGGGCAGAGGGAAACCAGGAGTCGCAAGAAAGGGGCAGTGTGCAGGTGGCCGGGTCAGTTGTCAGGAGGTCTGGGTGTTGGTGGCAAATGTGGGTAGAAGCAGAGAAGCTGCTCTACCTGTGGCATGAGAAAACAGAGGCATATACTGGCTCCTACATTGGTTTTGTTATTAAGTTTGATGCCTAATTGACAAAGGCAAGAAAATAGTCAGCCATATTCACAGTGACATCCAACAAAATTGGTTTAGTATCCTTTCATTATTCAATCTTTGAACTTTGAAGTTGGACATTGGACCCAATTTTTCATGGTTGTGAATTTATGGTAGCTATGGGTATACACAAAATCAAAGTTGATATAGGGCTCTGTGCTTTGTCTCTTTTTTGGTTACAGGAGAGCGATAGAGGAGAAGAGATAAAGAGGATGAAAGGGAAGAAGAAAATAGGAAGAGAAGGGTATTCGTAGGCTTAACCTGCCACATGGATTATTTATTTTAATTAAAAAATAAACTGCCACTAGGGAATTTAATCTGTTATAACTGATTAACCACTCTTCCCTTTTTAAGAAGATGGATACAAATGTGAGATTAAATTGAGTTAATTGGAAGTTCGGACCAAAATGAGAAAATTGCTAAACTAAAAGGTAGGCTTATTAGCATCAATTTTCCCTCTAATAAATAGGTGTAAGCCACAGCTCCTCAGCATAGAAGTTGCCTG